GAGAGGAGATGGGACATTAAGGGGCTTGATGGCCTTGCACTAGAAACGGTGGAGAGAGACCAAACCGCTATGAACTGGTGGTGCAAGGTATACCTACATTTGTATTAATATAAAATGTGTATAATTATTGTCGTTATTATGTATTTATGTTCATCCCAACAATCGTTAGATGCGTGAATCCTGCATATTCATTTAATAGTTCATGTTGAGCTTCATATGACATTTTGATTCAAATTTGTGCAATTTTTAAAAAAATAATTTAATGCCAAGTTATGTAGGTGTACTTTACCTTCGTAGAACCGGGATTAACAAGGACCGTCTGAAATATGTTAGATTTTTTATAAATTTACCAAAATTCTTTATGATCACATGACAAGATCAAAGGCATTTACAGACAACCGGATAGAGTACCTTTGTTACTTGTAGGAGATTAGTGGCTGGGGATATATTTGTTTTCTTAAGTTACTGAATTCTAATATCACAAGTCCTTTCTCATTGCCTTGCCTTGTGCTACGTGTTTTTCCATGAAGGCTTTATGTTATATAATGCTAGATAAGCTCTTAAATTACTATGATATATTTTATATAGATAAGAGAACAAGAATTGAGAATTAGTGTTAAGCAACTTCATCTTTGTAGATCTCCATTCGAAGATCATCCATGCCAAATAAGTCAACTTTGATGTCGAAGCCATCCATCTCGACACTGAATCATGCCATCCCAATGTCGAATCCTTTTGTCCCGATGTTGAATCCACCCATCTCGACTCCAAATCTTTCCTTCCTGATGCCAAATCCACCCATCTAGATCGATGCTAAATCAACCGTACCTTTTCATGGATTAGGCCTTAATGGTGCATTTTTTTGGCTTTTTTTTCAATATACCCAATCCATTTAACACAATTTCCTATAGCCAATTTTGATGTTTATCCCATAGATGCCTTCCTGTAGCTTAATTTGATTTTATTATTCAGAGAGAAATGCTTAGCCGATTTTGATGCATTCTTATCCCATAGATGCCTTCCTAGACCTTAATTTGATTTTATTTGTAAATTTATATTATTGCAAAGGTCCCAGTTTAATCATCCAAATAAAAAAGCTCATAAAAATGATATAAAGAAATGATCCCCTTATCTTTTCTTTTAGCCTTTATTTATTTAATTTTTTTTTTGCTTGATATTTTCTATTGCTTGCTTCTGCAGGAAACATTAATTTCATATTTATTATGCTAAGCATTACAATGTTTATTATATATACAAATTTAAATTTTTTTAGGAAATGCAAAATTTTATTTGTGTATTGAATTTTCCCAGGTTGTAATGTCTTGTTGTAGTAGATACGTTACTGACAGTGTCATTGATCCTTTGGCATTATTAGCTTATCTATAGGTAGATGTTTTGGTACAATAGTATTTTGCTTATTTATATTCATGAAGAATTTTTTTTTTATGAAATAATTTATCTTATGTTTTTTTTTTTATGTCATGAACATATTTAGGCCAAAATGCATACCAGTTCTACATCCAGCCTTCTAATGCTCCAGAATTTATGAGATTTAGTCTAAAATACCTACCATGCTCATGCTTTTTCATTCATGAACACTATAATATTATAAAGAATTGCAGTGACACTACAAATGGCTCGTTGTTTATTTCATCGATGCCATTTTTTATTGATCTCTTATAAATAGTTTTCCAATTCAAAACTTCTAACATGTTCAAAATAATTTTGGGCTTCTCTTCTTCCATGGAAACCGCTAACTTGATCCAAGTATGTGGTGTTTTTTCTGTTATATTCGTACTAAATCAATTTGAGGATTTTAGTGGATCATATGAAATCAGATGTTAAGACTTGGTATTGCATATGTAGTTCACAAGAGGAGGATAGTTTTGTGAACTAATGATACCAGAATACAATAGTGAGGCACTGAATGAATAACATGAAATATTTTTTTATCTGTATTCTTTTGAAGCAGATCTGGCAGCACACCAGCGTTAGATTTGAACTTCAGCTACTATTTTGATTTTTGAATTGATTTTGTTAAAATTTTAGGTTTGTTTATCAATTGGAAATTTTTTTTTTTTTTTTTTTGATAAAAAGGAAATATATTGATAATAAAAGCCGGTTACATCAAATGTAGACATTACTAACAATAAAGCAGAGATAAAACGGATGAGTACAATAAAAGATCGGGCTCAGCAAACAGCCAAGACTACCAGCATCCCTGGAGCCTCGCACTGACCATCCAGTAAAGTGGGAATCGAAAACCGACCCGAAAGCGACCACCAACCCGAGAGCCACACCAAAGGTTGCCACAGCTAAACGCCAGGGACGCGAGCCCCGACCACATCATTGCCCATATTATCGCATCAGCCAATAGAAAAAACATGAAAACCAATAGATAAAGAAGAAAAATCAACAGCTAAGAGAAATTTAGCGTCTACGGCGGCCTCGGCCGCGAAATCTCCCCCGAGAAGCAACATTTACACTAGGTCACGCATGAACTAGTGTGAAGTCGTTACCAGGGTCCGACCCCCCACAAAATTCCGGTGAAGCCAAGCCATCTTCTGAGCAATCGGATACAGAATCACCATCCGACTAGTCATTCAACCTATTAAAGTGGTTCCTAATGTCCAAACCAGACGAATCTCCAACCTTATTTGCCAAAAAATTCGAATCCACTAAATTCACTGGAACTTCAATTAAATTATTGATAAACGGGTTACAAACAGCCACAGTATCAACCCGAGTAGTGACCAAAGGTGCAACATTAACGGTCTCCGACGAGTGAAACGGCATAGAATTCAAACTCAGAATCAGCATAGTAGGAGGAAAGAAAGGAATCGCATTTGGGGATAAACCAGCAGTAGTCCCGCCAGCCGCCATTCCACCAGAATTCACAATAGCTACATTTGACTCCACCAGATCAGACACACGCTCATTCAAATCATTTTATGCAACATTAATAGGAATAGGAAGGGGATCGGTCGATAAAGGAACAACAGGAGACTCAATAGCATTTCTGATAGGAGAAAACTCACCCAAAGCAGGACACACAATATCATTAAGAAACTCCACCGTGACAGATATATACCTCCCCACAAACAGGGGTAGCAGACGGCTCAACAGCATGAACATTCTCAGGAATGATAACATTATTCAACATCTCACCCTCCAGAGAAATCTTAGAAACACCCTCAGCCACTAAACTAACAGTCGCTAAAGGAGGTTTGGGACAAGATTGAATCACAAGAACAACAGGTACAACCGGTTTGCAATTACCATGTACATGCCCGATACACTTACAGCTAGCACAGAATTGAGGAAATTCATCAAAAACAACCTCTTGAGTAAAGATTCAGATCCTAACCACACTTGTTTAGGATAGGTTTAGTTATATCAAGTTCCACTAATTCCCCGGCAATGGAAGGGCGAGAACCTACAGCAGTAGTTTCGTCAATCTTCAAAGGCTTACCAAACATACCGCCAAGCCCAAACAAAGTACGAGGTGAAAAAAAATGAGGGCGTAACCGAGGGAACGAAACCCAGATAGGAATAACAGGCGATTCAGCAGCAATGTCCAGAGTTGGCGACCACTTCGTCAATTTCATAAAGCAATTAAACACTAGGTAGGAACGGTGACAAAACACCCTACAGTAGTCAAGATCGCTTGCAAGCTTAATCAGGATATGCGAATGATCCAAAATAGTTACAGAAAACTCACTGTTCAACTTCAAATTGAAAAAAAAATTTGCGTATAGAATCAAGAGGTGTTCTTTTAGAGGGAAAGAAACCCACAAGGGAAAACTGAAAAGGGGCAGCGAGCTCGTTGATTTCTTGATCGGAAACCCATAAAGATGGTATTCCACGAAAGGTAGTAACACACAAATCCGGAAATTAAGGTTTAGAACTAGCAAGCGCTTCAATAAAAGAACGCGAATGGGAAACCCCACCGAAAAAACTGGGGTCTCGAAGCTTCACCGCAGCCATGCCGGCGCAGCCGGCCAAAAAATCGAAGGAACCAGAAAAAATAGATAGCCACGCTAAAATACAGAAGTAGAGAAGTAAGGACTCCCCTGGAAAACGAAGGCCGCCAGAGAGAAAGCTCCCGCCGAACGGGCGAAGGCGCCCGGAGCCACGAACCCTAGCAGAGCGGCTAGGGCGAAAAAAATGATATATGACTTTTTTATCAATTGAATTCTTAATTAAGGGTGCTCCTATATCTCCTTTGATGCTTGATCCTCATCAATATTTGTCTTTCTAGAATAAGGACTACTGTGTTATTTTGTTTATTGCTCTTTTTTTTTTTAACTTTTTTAAAGTTGCACGAATAAGATATATCAATCTATTCATATTCATGATTTTATGATTTCAGATTCCAAATTGTCTTTTTTGGTTGCAGGCTCGAGTGGATGCTAATGAAGTGTGGATACAGAGATCCCAAGATGTGGTTGCTATTGTGTAAAGAAACAACCCTGATGATAGGGGTCATTTTTGTGGATTTTTATGTGATGCTTTGTGAAGACATTTATTATAATAAATTGATTATGTGCATATATGAAGCATCAAGAAGCCATTTTTTTGTAAGTTGAAAAGTTCTTGTAATTTTAGATTTATGAAACAAATTTTTTATGTTGAAAAAAAGCTTATGTAAGCTCTCATATGTGAGGTTTTTAGAAATTTGATTGGAAACTAAATTATTTGCAAGTATGAGTCATCATGATTAATTAATGTTTGAAAGTATGTGTGTGCAAATTAATTCATTATATTTGAGGAGTGCTCATTAGTTACTAATTATGTGTGTGCAAACAAGATAACAGGAATCAATCCATTCTCAATTAGACACAAACATTTAAACATCAATTACAGTTACATAGAATCTCAAATGTAAACATTTCACACTGTCAAAAGTCAAAAGGAAATTTCGACACGTGATTTGCAGTAACAAATCACCATCTATATTATTTGCAAAAATACTTAAAAAAAAAAAAAGGATGTGAGAACTAAATGGGAATTGAACTAGACACACGGGGGTACACAACATTAACCGGATGAGCCATGATGCGCCGGCCCTTCATGTGCCGGAAAATATACACCACCGCACCTATGGGCCACTCCACCACTGCCGCCACCGCACATGCCAGAATTCCCACTGTGGGCCCTACCACCTTGCACCGGCACGGATTGCTCCTTGTCCCACACTGCACGCACAACATTTTCCTCCAACGTAAATTTGATATCGTAAAGTTTTCACAGAGTATCGGCCGAGTTCGAAGATTAGAGAAGAAATGATTACTATAAGTTCACCAGTTAAGCTCCAACCCCGTGCAATTTAAGAAAATCGAACAGGACGCGTGGCAATTGCCGCTTACGCTGAAGTTTTCATGCTGCCACGCAACCACCATTACTCTTTGACACGTGTATGTTTGACGGGCTAACGTGTATTGCTTGCATTTTTTTATTCAGGCCACCTCCTCATCCAAAAATTGCTATTTAAAAAAGGAAAAGAAAATATATAAAATGTGGCCTTATTCATAGTAGTTGTCTTTCAACGGGAATTCCTATCATTACAGGTGTACCCAAAAACTACACGTGTCAGAGATTTTGGCGGTGGAAAACACGTAAGCATCACTTCACAAGTAGATATTGCCACGTGTCCAGGTCCGTTTCCTTAAATTTGAGCGGCGTTGGAGCTCAAATGGAAAACAGATTCAGTTGTCTTCTTGATTATCTAACCTTCGGACTCCAAACCGTTACCATACGATAGCAACTTTACGTTAAAGGAAAATGTTGTGCGTGCAGTGTGGAACGAGGAGCAATCCTTGTCGGTGCAAGGTGGTGGGGCCGACGCTCGGAGTTCTAGCTTGTGCGGTGGCAGCGGTGGTGGAATGGCCGGAGGGCGCGGTGGTGTATATTTTCCGCCACATGAAAGGCCGAAGGATCATGGCTCACCCAGTTAATGTGGTTTACCCCCGTGTTTCCAGGTCTATTCCCATTTAGATCAATTGTAATTTGTGCGTTTCACAGTTTTTCTTCTATTTTCTTTTTTATTATATTGGGGCTGCTCTGTTATTGTAAACCATTTGTTTTAATTTTATTTTGAAGTTTGATTGTGTACTGTCATATTTGGGATTCTGTGTAACTATAATTGATGTCTAAATTAAGTTAAAGGTTTGTTTTTGCAATGAGAATATCCATGATTTGTTTCTTTTGACATTTTGGCCAATAAAATCAAACTCTCACGCAGATCAACTCAAAGCCTCTTTATTAATTGTCAAAAATTTCTACCGACATAGTAAGGCTGCTTTGTTTGGGATGATTTTCTTGTTGCTTGTTAAAGCAATTTTTTTGTTTAAAAAATATGCACTAGAAAACTGCTTTAAGAAGCAACGAGCAAAGGCATCCCAAGTCCAGGAATTTGAATGTTGTTAAAAATTATAGTGTTAATTTAAGGTTTTTTTTCCTTATAAAGGATGCATCTTTCTTTAATTTTTTTTTTGAGTGGTTAAGGCATTCTTTGGTACAACTTTTGACTGCTTTTATGATAAAAAAATATTTAGTAAAAGAATAATATATTTGAAAGGTAAAAAATTTATTTCTTTTTAAAAATTTTATCTTTAAAATGAATCTTTTGAAAATTATAATTTTTAAATTGTGATTGAGAAAACACCATAAAAAAAATTCAAAATTGCCCCAATAATGCTTACGTGTGTTTCAAGTCTAAAAAATGATTAGACATTAACTAACCAAAGGCTACTCTTGGAAACATATGGAGAAACCATAAAATCGATTAAACTTTGGATGTGCAATTTTAAAATGTATTAAGTATCATCATATTTTTATATTCCTTTATGAATAGTACATTTAAATACCCAAAACATAAGTTCGGGTTAAATCAAATAAATTAGATCTTATATTCATTATCATAATAGTTGGCCTACAAGAGAATTCACCTCAATGACAAAACTACAAATTATGAACTATCCTATCCAGCAAGTTGAGCGCACTTGCAAGCCTTACTACTATATATTGCTCTATAAAAATCCCTGGCAACTAAATAATGAGATTCATCTCAAGTGAAATCGCACGACTAAGAAGCATCGTCTTCATCGGGAGGATGTTTTCTAGAAGAAGGTTTCAGATCGAGTTTCTGATGTTTGTGTAAATGTCCAAGAGAATGATAATGCCAATATTGTGACACACAAAGTTGTTAATAATTCGGAGCAGTTGACTAAAAAGCCATCTTCTAATCCCTGGACTAAACATCCAAACATCAAAGTAAATTTTGTGAAGGATGAATCAATTCTATCCGAGGATGGTGTTGCTGTGAAATTACATGAGGCAAGTGTTATAGCTAACTCGAAAAAACTTCAATCATCAATTTTTGTCAAAGTTTTTGGGAAGGATGTGCCTATCCATATGGTAGAAGATGAATTGCTCCATCAGTAGACACAATCTGGTAAATTCCATCTTACAAGTCTTGGGTTAGGATGGGTTTTATGTTCATTTACTTCGGCTGAAGCTCTAGACAATGTGTTATCAGGAGGACTGTGGTATGTGAATGGCCACATTATTGGTCTTGATAAGTGGAATCCCCAATTCTCACCTACCTCTTTGAAAGGCATGACTTCTCCTATTTGGATTAGATTACCTCATCTTTCATTATTATTTTGGGATGAAATAAATGTTGCAATGATAGGTATTCCTTTATTGATTGATGAAAATATGTTACAATGGGGTAAAAGAGAATATACTAGAGTTTGTGTCTGTGTGGCTTTAGACAAGCAACTTCCCTTTGGTGCTGGGTAGAAGGAGTGGAAAGTTATTTCTTTCAAAAAATTGACTATGAAAAAATGAATACATTTTGTTTTAAATGTGGAAGGATTGGCCACTTCATCAATGAATGCAAAATGAAGGATAAAGGTTCTAAGAATAAAGATGGAGATAAATTGTTGCAGGTGGTCTATCCCATGGCTTGTGTGAGCCTGATGAGGTGGATAATGATCATTCTTATGGACCTTGGGTACATGTGAACTACGAAAAAAAAGGAAGGCTGCTGTCATTAACAAAAAAAGTGGATAAGAGAAATGGTTTTGTTCAAAAGGTTACTAATAAAACTTTTCTGATTTATGTTAAGAAGGCTGCTGCCAATTATGCTCTCCTCTGGAGTAAAGAAACCTGATACTACCAAGTTTTTGGCTGATGCTAATCAGGAGCTGGGAGTAGATGTAGGTGTTGATCATTTTGTTTCTGATATGTTGTAGAATGAAGACACATTGAAGATTAAAGTGGATGCACAAGACAACCTGAAGAATCATGAAGAAATACCTTCAATAGTGTTTCCTGAGGTGATATCTAATAATGTGGTTGTTGATATTCATACAGATATCAATGTGTTCAATGTATTGAAGAATTCTCACGAAGGAGATGATATCTTAAAGCTTACATATCCTGTTGAATCGAGTATGGAAGACATGGAAGATGGAGAAATTATTGTTGCTGATCTGAAGATAGATAAACCTGATAAAGGGTCAGGTGTTCATGGTTCTGAGTTTCTAAATTCAAACTGCAGAAAGACCTCAAATCATTAGGTATGACCAATTCTATCTCTCGCAATAGAAGAGGTGGCTTGTTGATTAGAGATGCATGGTGGTGGGAGCAATCCCACCTCAAAGAATAAAAATAAATGACATCTATAGTATTTTGAAAATGTATAGGGGCAAGAAAGATTGAAGCCTCTCGTTATTTGAAGGAAGTAGTTAAACATTTTGATACATTTTTTTATTGGACTTGTTGAGACTAAGATCTCTTCTTTGAATAAATTTATTGAAGACAATTGGGATTTCTTTTTTTTTTTTCCCTTCGGAAGGCCTTTCCAATGGCATTATGGTATGCTGGAGGACTAATGTGTCTTCCTTTTCTATTATTCAAGCTTTATCCCAGGTGGTGATTGGGGAGCTTAATATTACTAATAAAGGAGTTTGGTTAGTTGCTATTGTGTATGTTAGTAAAGATGTGTTCAAATAACTTTAGCTGAACTTAGCACCAAGTATTCATGGCATTACTTACTCTTTTATAAAGAATTATTGATCTATTATCAAAAAGGATGTTTGGGATGTCGTTAATGTATTTTTTACCTCAGTAAAAATGTGTTCTGGTTGGAAGGAAACTTGTGTGGTGCTAATTCCTAAAGTGAAGGTCCCTATCACCTTAGTCTTTGCTTATCTATTTATAAAACTATGCTTAAAATGCTTCATAATAGGCTGAATTGTATCATTCCCGAAATCAATTTTGAAGATAAATATGCCTTTGTCAAAGGTAGATCATTATCTAATCAAATTTTGCTTGCTCAAGAGAATTGTAACAAATTTATATATTCTAAATCTAAGAAAGGGTTCATGGCCATCAAGATTGATATGTGTTGAGTCCAGTAATTAGGTTGTTAAGCCTAAGTAAATGTCCCAAGGCTACCAAGAGGGGGGTGAATTGGTAGTTTTTAAAATTTTAAACCCTCTTAATAATAAAGTTGAACCGAAATAAACTATTCAAACAATATGGAGCAGACTTATGATAGTATGAGTTGGGATACTTTAAAGCATGTTTTATAGTACTTTGGGTTTCTAATTAACTTCTCCAATTTGTTGCTTGAATGTTTTACTAATCCTAAATTTTATATAATGGTTAATAGTAATCATTCAAATTTAATTGAGCTAAAAGTGGGTTTAGACAAGGTTGTCCCTTGTCTCCTTATCTTTTTATATTATGTTCTCAATTGCTTCCTGATAATTTCACTCAAAGTGGAGGGAACATTGGCATTAAAGTGGCTCCAAATGCAGATAAAGTTTCTCATCTTCTTTACGCCGATGATATCATCACTTTCTCAGAAGCTAATCAGAAAAGTGCGAATAGAGTAAGAAAAATTCTTAAAGACTATTACAAATGGTAAGGTCAAAGGGTAGATAATCAGAAATCTATTATGTTGTTTGGAAAATCTGTCAATAGAAGAAAAATCAATAGAAGAAGGAGGATTGCTCTATCTAGGCTCTTGGGCTTCAAGGAGGTCCTTGAATTGGTGTACTTGGGTGTCAAGCTGGCTTTGAGAAGATTAGTAGTATTAGACTTCCAAAATGTGATAGAAAATGCTTTGAGTAAATTGAATGTATGGGGGAACAAGTTTATCTCACTTGTAATAAAGCTTCTTGTGAAGTCGACTCTTCTTTCTCTTCCCATATATTTATCAACTCATTATATATATATATATATATATATATATATATATGAAGAGAGAGAAGATTATTAGTAGGGAAACTACAAATTAGGTTCGTTGAATTTGTTGAAGTATCGTATTTAAGGGATCTATGATTATATTGTTCAACTCAGAAAGCATTGCTTGTTGTGGCACATAAATAAAATGGGCCCAATCATCGATATGCTTAGGCACTATTGTATCTTAGCATCAAATGATCTATATTATTGGTTATTTTAATATCTCTTTGGTTGAAAATTATAAACAAAGTACTATAGCCAAATAATCTAAAAGAACAAATTTATGCATAAATATCATCAAATCTGGATGAGTAATATGTATCCTATTTGCAAAGCAAATTAGCTAGTATAAAATTGATTCAAACAAATATTTATAGAAGCGAATTTCTTTGCTGAAAATATAATCACTTCTTGATGTTGCCGGTGAAAACAAACTTCTTCTTCCAACTTCGAGCAGAGAGATCAATCCAAATAGCTCAACGAATACACATAAATTCCACTTAAAATTTAAATAGGGAAGTGACAATAAGAAATTAAAGTAGAATTGAGAAAAACTTGGCCGAAATGGGGGTTCAAATTACCCTCATCCAAACCCAACTGGTAGCAAAGGCTATGTGAAGTTCTGTTTCTACTCCAGGATCGTCCAGGACGATCCGAGATCGTCCTGGGACGATCAGTTGAGGATTTGCTCCAGAAATTGCCCAGATTGCTCCAGGTGATTTTCCTCTCAGGATCGGCCGGGCCGATAGGGTCATCGTCCCAGGCCGATCAGTTCAGTGCAAAAGTTAGAGAGTAAATCGTCCTGGAAATTAATTATCGTCCTGAGAAATCGTCCCAGGCCGATGTGAAATTGGTCTAATCGTCC